ACTTCTTCAAAATATCAACAGTTGTGATAACGTGCAAAATACGTCGATATATAAATATTAATCCTTGAAAAACGTGCATGTTCTGTCCCCTTTGAAGGAGTAGTTATATCAGAGACGGGAAGAATCGGTTCCGAGAAAGCTGGTAAGTGCCAAAAAATATCAGATTGACAACTAAAACTTTTAAGATGAAAAATAAATGCTGCCTTCTTCACATTGTTATCAGTATTATTGTGAGGTCACAAGAGTAGTTGACTTATATCTTAGAAACCCCAAATCAGATTAAAGTAAAACAGTTCATATTGTGTTCATTCGTGTATTTATTTTTCTTTATTCTCTCCTTTGATCAAGTCTACGTCTGAGCTACAGTAAAAGTCTGATGTAACGAGGATGACCTATAAAACAAATCCTTTTTAACACATTTTTTTGCATGGTCAGTGGAAAAAGGTTAATTATCGGAACATCTGCCGTCAGTGGCCGCGTGGTCTAAGGCGTGGGCCTTGTGCAGCTTGGTCACTGGGATCATGGGTTTGAATCCCACTCGAGGCATGGATGTTTGTCCATTCCCCTACTACCACCCACTGATAAGAAAATGATAATTGCAGGCACTCGGCTGTCTGCTTTACATAACGATGTGATTTGTCTCTTAGGTTTGTTTTTATAAAACATTTCAAGACCATGTATCCATAAAAAATTAAAAACTGCGTAAATATCTCGTGTTTCAAGTATGATATCCAGCAACATAACAAAGTCATCATTTGTAATATATAATTATTTATATTCCAAATGTTAGTTCTCGTGACAACAGACTTATGCTGTATACATCTGATATTACTGTTTTGTTTACTGTATATTAAATCTGAATATCACTATGAATTTCTGAACATTCTTAATCATACTTTAAGGAAAGATGCCTTCTAAGAATTACATTTAATTTGGTATTAAAATTGGTTTTGGAAGTATAAACGTATACTTCATTATATGCTTTGAACAATTCATTTTTTTGGAATATTTTAGCTACCAACAATCGCTTTTGCATGTAAGGAGCTGGTCTAAAATTACAGTTGGGGTAAAATGAAATCTGTTTTATTGGCAAATATGTTCCTCGACTGTTTTTATATTCCGTGTCGTTATGTTGGTCATTCTGGTATTCAACTTCAGTGAAATATGGCGTGTTGAGAGAGCGCGGTTTTCAAGCTTCGTATGCAAAAGTATATTTCTGACGTTTGTTTTACGGTTTTATAATCACAGTTTATCTGCATTGGAATCCTAATATTTGTGATCATTTTATTGAAACAGATAGACAGGTGAAGACTGGAAGTAAGTCTTACGTAATGCTTATTACTAATCGGATTCTTTTAATAACTTTTAAGGTTATGGTTTCGGAAGAAGAGCATAGAAGTGCTTGAGAAAAATGTGTGTTAAGGCTAAGTGCAAGTTAGTTTTCATGGCATTACATAGGTCAGACAACACCAACATACTAGGTTTGTAGTCGAACAACGCATTCGTTGCAACCAAGAGACCGAGCTACAGGGGCAAATTTTTGCAATTGTTTTATCCAGTCAGTGAATGAAGTTACCTTTGATCCACATTTATTTCGTTTCATTTAAATGGACGTGTATTACACGCATAATGACTTACACAGGCCACTTCATGATCCGAACATTTGTTTTTTGTGGGGATTTAGTGCAAAGTGAATATTTGGCCTGTTTGATTATGGACCAGTCTGCGATACATGTTTACGACGACAAGGGGAACATCTTCAACGCGTTTTCTGAACCGGTAAGTTTGTCTTAAAGTTTATTTTGTTTTCTTGCATAGTGTTCGTAATGGATCACGTAAAGAGGGTTACATTTTATTTCAAGCAATTCGTCTTCATAACACGTTCCTCTAAGCAGGGCAATTACTTTTAATTTTGTTTGTGTTTTCCATTGTTATATTTTTAATACTTAGGTTCGTTTCGAACTGACAGTCTATAGCTTTTTAATACATTTTTTGGTTTATTCATCTGTTAACAACGCGGGGTTTCTACGATTTGATTTATTCTTTCATGTTATGTATTGATTATAATATGGTAATGTGTTTCGAGCTGTAGTTAGTTTAGTAAGCCACCGCTAGAGTACACCTCCTTTCAGTTGCAGATACCGGTTAGAAAGCGTAAGATATTTCATTACTGTCGATAACTAAAATATTCGATCGATAAATAAAGCATCATTGGTGTGTACATGACTCGTCACTCCATGTTTTCTTGTGATTGTTGGCCTTTTAACTCATATAGAGCTAATTTTTAAGACCTTGTAATACATTCATGCGTTAATCATGTTATTACATATCGAGTTTCGATTAGGTCGATGTTATCGCATATCGCTTCAGCTACCAACCCCCAACAGAAATCACTATTATATCTACTACTCATACTCGAATACATTGGCTTTCACATTATTGAAGCTCTGAAATCTACTTTATTTCATAAAACAATAACAATTTCGCGTGATTTTCCTTACTTCTGTGTCGTTATAAATTATATGCAGTCAAAATGCCTTTCCTCCAATTCACTGCTTCAAGTCGTGCCCCAGAACAGCTTAGCTAATTGAAAGACTGCGATGTGATAAATGAGGAGTGATCATTAGGAAAACGAGTCTGGATTTGCTGGAGGAGACGTGTGGGCTACTGGAAAGTGCCACGCGGTTAATCCACAATGTACTTAGCGTAACATTTATTTATTTACGTAGTTTGTCTACGACGAATATAAAGGACTGATGTTTACGTCCTATACTGACTGGATGGGGCAGAGTCTTTATTAAGAAACCACAGGCCTCTATCCTGAATAACATTAATCCAATCTGTACCCTCATATCCTAGTTAATTAAGATACTTTTGAAAGCGTCTATATGTTTAGATAATTTATATGTGGAGTAAGGGTACCTTACGACGTTATTTGAGTGCTATGGTGAACTTCGTCTGTAGCTGGTTATTGGGTCTGGCTCAGAGGAGTCATCGTTCTGGTAGCCGTCCCCAAGGAGACACCGGAAGTGTGCCTTTGGGCCTGCGCTGGTTAATCAGCCAACATGAATGTTTTCTTTACAATAGAAAGTAAGACGTTAAACAGAAGTTTTATCGTCAGTGTCAATACTATCAAGGTCACAAACCTTTTCACTTTTTTTAAACATGTTTTCTATGACGAGGTTCTGGTCTTTTATCGATACGAAACTGAGGAAATTTAATATATTTTCGCCAGCGCAATTAGTATTGTACTGGTTGTCGAAAAAACGATGTACATTTTCCTTCCAGAAGCTACAAGTCAATGAAAAGTTTTTTTTTTTAAAAAAAGGAGGAAATCAAGTTAAATAGAAAAACTTCCTTACATTTTCATTGTTATTATTCTGTTCATGCCTCAGATCCAAATACGAGAAAGTTAGAGATTTACTTCTGTTGTTAGTATTTTATTTATTTATTTAGTGTTCTGTCTGACGACAGGTCCATATGAACAGGATCCTTCCATCCTTTTCTCGGACTGGGACCTGTTCATATACGTTCTTGGCAGGTGATCCAGAAGTGGTTTGCCATTGCCTTCTTCTGTGTGTGAATGGAGTAATTGTTGGGATGCCACGGAGGAAAACTCCGTGTTGCCTAGACCACGGCCTTGCCCAACACAAGTTATAAATTCAGGCACCGCCGGGAATCGAACCCGAGACCCCACGATTACAAGGCCAGCGTTCTAACCGCTAGACCACCGTGGATCTACTTAAGTTAGTAGGCGACAATAATTAATCCACTGTTGTAATCCGTCTTTCGAGAAATGTTTCTGCGGTGTATTGACTGTTTGGTAAATATATTTTATCTTGTGTTTCTTTGGTTTTAAACTACGAGAAACTCGTTGACTCTCTTAGATGCTGTGAACGCAGGATAAAATGGACATTTTTGCTAAGTGATACATAAATGTTCAGTTCACATAACGGGGGTCTTACACACATGTTTCGATCTTCATTTATTTAGGGCAATACGAAGTTCTGATCTAATGTTTGCATTCATTTGCAGGGTTTAATTCCAACACCCCTCTGTATTTTCGATAATGATTTTTTAAGATATTGTAGGTGCGTCATATTGTGATTTTATTTAAAAATAGTTTTAAAATATATTAAAATTGTCCGTCAATCACAATAAAGTAATATAAGATAATTAAATAGTTAAAATATTATCCTTTGTTCCGTATCGAGTACTCGGATTTACATATGGAACATTCTCGACATGTAATTGAATTTAAGAGTTTATAACATACACCTGATGACGGCTCTATGAAAGCCGAAACATGTCGAGAATGTTCCATATGTAAATCCGAGTACTCGATACGGAACAAAGAATAATATTTTAACCATCTAATTATCTTATATTATTTTATTGTGATTGACGGACAATTTTAATATATTTTAAAACTATTTTTAGATAATGTTTTTGTTTAGTATCTGGAACCTTGGTAGTTGATACGATATTGTAAACTCAATACTTTATTCTTTGTTAGTCGTTCGTTGTAACAGAGGGAAGGAATAAGATACAGGGAGGCGAGAGACCGCCCATCCCCCACCGGTACACGCCTAAACAAATGAGTACAAGTGAATTTGAAGCAGATTTGGTCAATTTCCCCTGGGTCAAATCTAGAGGCGTCACACCACCCACGTGCATTCGAAATGTGTAGAAGCTGACATCTGAGCTGCTGGAAATGCATTTCGATATGATGGATAGCCCGGCTTGACCTCGTGGTCTGTCTGTTGCCTCTACACTCATGGGAATTGTTCCGCGTGTGTACGGCGTGATGCAGTCGTCATGGCAACTGTCTGCTCTCGGTTTATTCCCAGTGGTCGTCAAAAGGGGGGGGGAGCCCCCATGATAATTAAGCCTTAAATCAGTTTTAATACGCACATGTTCGCGAGTGTAATGCCTGTGTTATTGAAATGTGTACGCTTATAACTGGAGAACGGATACACTGATTTGAACTAAACTTGGCATGTTTATTCCTTGAAATCAGGAAGAAATTTTTGACAGGTTAAAATTTCGAGAAATGTCTTGGGTCTGAGTCCCGGTGAAGATTATTTCTCTGGCTTGGAAAAGTAGGAAATAGATCGGGAACATTTGGGTTTCGTTCTTCAGACTCAGAATATGAACCGAAGACGGGCTTTTGTGAATAAGGTAATGAACATTAGGTTTCTATAAAATTCTCCGATATTGTCGTATGGCTGAGCGTAGTGTCAGCTTGTCAAGACGGGCTCTGCTCCGAGTTGGCGTGATTTAATATTTACGGTCAAATACTTTAAATATCTAATTCATTTATAACGACGTTTTTTTAAGTAGGCCAGATTGTATGGAAGCGAATGATGATAATCAGAAAGGAATTGCAAGGCTTTGGCCCAATGTCGGACATTTTCCCGGAATTTGCCTGGAAGCTCTCGAGACAATCACGATGTAATTCAGTCATGACAGCCGGTCTTGGCCCGAGATTTGAACCCAGGATCTTCAAAATTCTTTTAAGAAATACCTTCTTGTATCTTTATTTCGTTTTTCGTAACTGGAATGGTTTTAAAAATAGCATATCGTTTTCATAAATTTTTTTTGCTAAGTCTCGTAATATCACTTTCGTCTCCTTTAGTGACATTTTTTTCGGTTGTGTTGGCAGACCTTCATATTCTGCTCTACCATCAATAATATGCGTAACAAAAGAAAACACACTTGTTCCGTTTTAAAAAAAGATTTAATTAGTGTTCAGTTACTAAGTAGGAGTAGCTGTTCTGTCCAGAGACTGGAACGAATCTTAGCTGCTAGTATTTTGCCATTTCTTAATTGCACTTTACAAAATTAAACTCACTGACTTAACAGTAACATATTAACCTTACAAGACCATCAGTTCTTCTCATTATATCGTATTACTTTTCATCTTTAAAGTATCTTAATTTCAGCGCATGCCTCGTTGACTTACGAACCCCACATTTAAATTATTTCGGACAAATTTCTTTTACGTCTATACTGCCATTAAAATTGTTTTAATTAACTACATCAACGATTCAACAGTGAGCCTTCCTGACGACAGACAAGACGGAACAAGCCGTGTAGTCTGGTAGTAGAAGTCTACCGACGTTTCAGAGATACTTGCTACCTCCATCATCAGGTCCCTGATGATGGAGGAAAGAAACACCTCCGAAACGTCGGCGTAACATCCCTTAAGACAGCCATCTTAAGTCTCACCGTCATGAAAACCAAAAATCCTACCAAGACGGAATAAGTCCGTTTCATACTTCGTTAGTGTGCTTAGTGTTTTGAGTTTAGACTTGATGAAGTTTCTGAGGAACGTGCAGTCTCCATCTTCACGGCAGCAGTGATCTTAAGATGAAAGTATTTGTCACACTTCGCAACAAACCATTTGATTTTGTCTCCGTGTTTTTGTCTTGTGGCGGTGAATTATACTTTAGCACAGTGGTATTCAACCTGGGGGTACGCGTACCCCCGGGGGTACGCGAAGACATCTTAAGGGGTACGTGAAATTTAAAAAAAATTATATTATTTTATGATAAACACTGAATAATCAGTAATGTAATTTATTTAATTTATTTTAGATGTAGATTATATACTATGTATAACTTGAATTATACACCAACAACTTTTTGGGGGTACAAAATTGAAGAGAAATTATATCTGGGGGTACGTGAACAAAAAAGGTTGAATACCACTGATATAGAGGGCACATAGGACGAGACTGGGAAGGAACGTCTGTCGCACGAAGTTGACTTAACTCGTGTGAAAAGAGAAGTTACAAACGAGACACGCAGTTATTATTCTTCTTATCTCTGCGCGCGTGGACGACGTTTCGGCCGTTGTACGACACCCAGCGCTGTCGATTATGAACCTTCAGATGTTTCGCGAGATGATCAGAACGTGAAAAACCTTTTTCGCACGTCGGACACTGGTAAGGTTTCACTCCCGAGTGAGACCTTCGATGTCTCGAAAGTTCGTCAGATCGAGAAAACCTCCACTCGCATCCAGCCCACGTGCAAGCGAACGGTTTCTCTCCCGTGTGTCTTCGTAGATGCGCCTTGAGATGCGATGATTTGGCATAAATCTTCTTGCAATCATTAAACGTACAGTGAAATGATTTGTCTTCAGCGTGGTTTCTTGAAGGAGTCGCTGTTTTCGGAGGAGATTCTGGTATCGCTACCCCGTTTATATGGGGCTGAAGCGAGTTTCCAATGAACACCGGAGACACCGAATGACCTTCTGGTGAGGACAGGGCAAAAGACGACGGTGACGTCACATGAAATGCTGAAGGATTTGATTCAGGAGTCGTCACTGGCGTTAAAAATGTCGGTGATAGATTGTAAGTTGGTGATGTCGACGGTTCAAACGACGTTTCGGGCGTTGCGTATGGATAGAAACCTACTTTCGTAAACGTTTCGAGAGTTTTGTTAGTGTAATCGTGAGACGCTAATGCCACAGATGCTGTGTACCCTACCTGCCCGTTCTCGTATACGTAGCCATCGTCTGCAATGTGATCCTGACCGTATGTTCCGCCATGCTCTTCGTCTATGGACGGCAGCCATGAGAAATCGTCCGTAAGAGAAGACAAGTTTACACCCAAGACTACAATTTGTGATGTCTGAGGTTTGTACTGCAGCTGCTCCACACTTTCGTCCAGATACTTGGAGCACTGGTCTGTGCAATACATCGTCTTAGCTGGTAAACACTGTAGAGGGGTGGATGGTGAGTCGGTCAACTCGGGAAAGAAATTTCCCTCCCACCAGACGTCGTCCATTTCATGTACAGCAGTATCAGATATTTCTTCTGATATGCCTGTGTGCAAATATTAAAAAATATCAGCTTCTGTCCAATGATTTATAAGTCAGAAACATAAATGCTACAAACAAACAGAAAATTTGTTAAACTTAGATACGGAAATATGCAAGGGAAATAAGATGTCATATTTATGTCTCGTCACAAGACTGTAGGACTAAATACGGGTACAGAGGTTTTTTATTTGTAGTGTTCTGTCTGAGGACAGGTCCATATGAACAGGATCCTTCCATCCTTTTCTTGGACTGAGACCTGTTCATATACGTTCTTGGCAGATGATCCAGAAGTGGTTTGCCATTGCCTTCTTCTGTGTGTGAATGGAGTAATTGTTGGGATGCCACGGAGGAAAACTCCGTGTTGCCTAGACCACGGCCTTGCCCAACAGAAGTTATAAATTTGAGCACCACCGGGAATTGAACCCGGGACCCCAACTAAGAAACTTTGAAAACTGGGCAAAGTTAAAATATATAATTAAATAGGGTTCTCTGAGAAATTAAATACACAATAAACTGAGTTCATTTCAGTACAGTTCCGTTTAATTTCATACTCGTCAACGTGAAAAAACTAAAACCTTGTTTACTTCTGTTTAATTCAGTTTAGTTCCGCTTAGTTCAAAATAAGTGACTGTTTGATTTGTCGATCTGAATGTACCGAGAAAAATGTGAAATGTCGAAACTTACCCGATAAATCGGCGTTTGAATTTGTCGACCATTCTGCCCTGAAATCCAGGCCAGTTTCATAGGGCATTGGACTTTGAACTGGCGATGGAAACAGCGAACAGATGTTGTCGAATCCTGGATACATGGAATCCATACCTGAAAAATAAATAAATGTTATAACAACTGTCAATTTCAAATTTTTCCTGGCTTGAAACGATTACGCCTTGTAGCCTAACATTGCATGAACCACTCTCCTGATCTGGTAAGTTGTGAGATAAAAACATTGGCTAGTTGCTGATGATAATTAAGCCAGAAACCAACTTCAAAAACATTTATGCAACAGTTTTATCTCTTCGGACGTTCTAAAGCAGGTCAGAGATATATCGCGAACATTGTAAAGACACACAGCATCACCGTACTACCCCAATTCCTGAACCGTCTTATGAATCTCGATAAAATTTCGTATCTGAGCTTTATATATATCAGCAAAAAGACTGTATTCGTTCGCATAATTAAAGCAGGATTATTACATTTTTTTTTACATTTTAAATTGAATGTAACCTAAATTTTAAAACGTTTGAAGAATGCGAAGACAAAGATTTTAAAAATTGAGAAGGCTATAAAAAGTCTGTATTTATTTTTGAGTTATAAGAATATTTAAGAAAATATTGTAAAATTTTTAAAACTTAAAATATCAAACGCTTATTAACAACCAGAAAAGTAGCAACAAATATGTAGTAAAACTTCCCAAAGACTTTGCGTCCGTAAAGAACAGATTTATATTTCGTGTATGTTCCATTAGACAGCGAAATTACGTCTTTTTATTGTTTATTATAAGTTTTAAGTGATTATATCCTTTTTAAATTTGCTTTTCGTAGAAATAAAAATTATATTTTGTTCACTTTTGTTGTTTCAAAGATTTCTATTCTTTTTTTTTTTAATTAGTACGTATCACAGTTATGAAATGCTGAAAGATAATTGTCTCGTGAAGTTTCAGAACTTACCTTAAATTATATTTCCTTCAGATACATTAAGCTGCCTCCTGCGAAGAATCCCTGCCTCTGGTCTCGTCAGAATATCAATTAGAGTCGTTCTAACCCCATGATCCGCCCTCAATCCGTCAGCTAACACACATGTAGGCTGGCAGCTTCCTCAACTTTGCCTTGGATTGGCGTACGCAGAGCCACGTTTCCTGGCTGATAGTGTGGGCCACACAATGTCGGACTGGAGCCTTCGTAGGTCCCCGGATCGGATGTCTTCTTATCTGTCACTGGCTCTGACTATTCTTGATACTTCTGAACACCGTAATTAAACATCTGCTTGTCCCGATGTGTTGTTAACAAGTGGCCGGCGACCAGACATCTGTTACCTCCCCATAAGAATGTTGACGTTACCTCAGAAGTAACCTAACACTTGTCTTTCCCCCCCAAGGGAGTGTTAAAAACACATGAAATTTGTCATCCACTTTTGTCACTATCTTCGGGGGTTAAGAATACGTAAATTATTCATCTATTTCTGACACTTCCACTCCCAAATAGAATTTCTTTATTTATTTTTGGCTTGTTTTGGCGGTATATTTGTGTTGTGTTTTGCTAACAGGTTTCCCCTGCTAGTTACAACTACAGAATATTCGGTTTTCGAAGGATTAGCCACGCGAGCTTTCGACAAATATTTCAGGTATCATCTTCAGGGTGAATACATATAGGTCTTATATAAGTCACAATATAAATATACAACTCGCCAAGAGGCTGTCTTGAAGGAATCGAAATACAATTTATATCTTCTTTGAAACTGCTCTACAAACCACCAATTCTCACCCACAGTTTCTCTGGTCTCAGCATAAAGTAATTTATTACTTTCAAAATGTGTCTCGCTCTTCCCTCTGTTACTGGGGAGAAAAAATAAGGATGTAGGGTGTCCGTGGAGGACTGTCTACACTTCCGGTGTAAGCATTTCGGCGTATTGATGGCAGATACCACGCCTGTTTGTGGCATGTATGCGTAGATCCACGAAGGATGTTTGCACAATTTACAGTCTAAATGAAATGGTTCAATATATTTTACAAGTGATAATAGTAATCGGTTTCTGGATTGTGGAGCGTCGAGTTACGTCCCTTGCATTACGTTGGTAGTTTGGAACCAGGCACTGGTAGATACCACTGAGATTAGAGTTTCAGATCATTCTGGTTGTGTTACATGGACGTAAACCATACGCAACCTTTCGACATCTGGAGCGAAAGTTTGCCTGCAATCCACCGCCAAACTGGCGCCAATATAAATCCATTGCTTGTGGGTGTTATGATTACTGCAATAAAGACTTTATCACGTAAATTTTTATTCCAATCCAATGAAACACCCAGTCTTTTCTTCAGAATAAGTACAGAAATTTTTTTTCTTATTTTGTTGCTACTGAATGCGATCGTCAACTTTTTTTTTAATGAGTATTCTACAGGGAGTTACCAACAAACGCTGCAAAAAAGTACCAGCCATGGTAAAATGAAGACCAGTCACGGAGGGGAGTTTCGTATGAGAAGACGTTTCTTTGTTGGAGGATGATGCTCCAGTCCTCCAAACCCTGTGGTCTTCAGTTACGATACGGAGAGTTGGCAACAATGGATACTAAACTATTTTTTAGTAGGATTTTTTGTTCTCGCTGTGTTGAATACGAAGATGGCTGTCTTTTGGATTGTAGAGCGATTATAATGGAGGCAGCAAGTACCTCTGAAACGTTGGTAAACTTCTATCAAAATACACGTTCTTCTTAACAATCGAGGGTTACGTCCCAAAGGCCTGTTCCGAATGTTTTATAGTCACTTGGGTTCCACTATAAAGCGGGAGTCTATACCACGATTACTGGATTACTAATTAAAAGTTATTTTGGATTTGTAATTTATTAACTTTATGAATAAGAGGCCTTCTTGAGAAGTTATTAATTTTCTCAGCTGGTCGAGAAAATTACCCGAAGGTCCATTACCGTGTTTACAAGAGGCTACCATTATTGAAATATGTGACGCAGATTTTTGAGGATGTGGGCTATAAAAAAATATGTGGAAATGAATTGATTGGCGAAAATGGAGGACCACATCAAACCAGTCGAAAGACTGATGACAAAAAAGAAATTAACTAAGTTGGCTTTATTTTGACTACACATTCTAAACAAGCCAAAGGTGTTTTTAACAAATGCTGACATTAGGGATACGTTCCTTTCTAGTGCTAGCCTGTGCACACATTTCTTTAGTGTCATATTCATGTGGACCTATTATGTAGGAAATAATCTTGTCACATTTTCTGCAGCAAACCACATGTGAGACTAATGGCTTAGCTTTTAGAATGGGCTTTATTAATGGGTAAGTGTAAAAGACGATATCTTTAGAACGAAGAATATAACGTGCAAAAATGGCGTACACGATTTGTAGGAAAAGTTCATCCGATAACATTGGCTGCCCTGCTTCGCAATTCACGCCTGTGTCGGTTTAGTCTGCTAGATTGAAGGAATTCGTGGTGTTAATTGTACTGCAAACTCTTTAGTTCCGAAGGGTGTAGATCTATTTACAACATTTTTGAAATGTGAAAACAACAGAATAGTTTATAATTCACTATTATGTCGATCAAGAGAAATTGGTTCGTGCAGTAAGCAAAATATTCGGTGTGTTTAATGACAAGTGTCAACATGGCAACATCCACTGGGGATAAAACTGTAAATAAAGTGGCATTATGCTCTGCAATATTTGCTGGATTTGCGTATGTAGGTTATTCAGTTGTGCGGACAGCATTTTGTAGGAAGCTTGGTCGTCGAGATGGCGAAGGTAATGTTAAATGTACTATACTGGAATTCAGATATTCAATAACCCCCTCCCCCCCCCACAAACCCTATTAAAGTCTTAATCAGGATCTAAAGCCAGATGAATCCAGTTCGTACCCACACTTTCTCCTCAGTACTCATTTTAATATTACCCTCCAAGTGATCTCTTCCCTTCAAGCCTTCCAACATGAATTTTGTATGCTTTTTTAATCCTTACATTTGTGGTACATGCCCTGCCCATCCCATTCTCTTTGATTTGATCATCCTAATAATTTAGGGTGAAGAGTACAAATTATGATGCTACTAATGGTGTATTTTTCCCCACTCTCCTATTACTTCATCCCTTTTAGGTCCAAATATTGTCATAAACACCCTGTTCTTTCCTCGTTGTAAGACACCAAGTTTTGTGTCCATACAAATAACAGCAAAATTAGAATTTTATATAATTTGCCCCAGGAACTCATCACTCATTCAGTATTTCTTAGTTCTTTTATCGCAGCATGGCAGTGTTGATCTCAAAATGAGTCGCCGAGTGTGTAAGAATTATTTTTACCCACAATGGGTTCATCGTTGATTTAGTCATTACAAAAGTAATGTGCTAATTTTATATTTTCGTCCTGATGTGCCTTAGTTGAGGGATATTCATTGTTGACAGTTGTAATCTTCAATTTGTCAGCACTGCATTTTTACCATTAGCATCTTCTGTGTTCATCCCGGTGTATGTGGAAATGGGGGAAAAGATGATTTTGTGTCACTTTG